TCCTGCAAATGCTGGATGCAATCCCCAGTGGCAGTCATCATCTCTCTTGTTCCCCCTGCAAGGAACAGGAGGAGCCCACTGGGACGCCAAGATCCCGGTGCCAGACACAGGCATTGCTCTGGCTGAAAGATAACAAGGGAAGACCTGAATACTAACAATAGGTTTGTAAGTGGTGGAAGACACCAGTGTACACCACAAAAATGATTGTTGCCTCTCAGTTTTACAGGGTCCCTGCTCACACCACAAGGGAATCGTTTCCAAGTGCACTGTTAAGCATCCTGGACCATCCACAGCTCCCCCTAAAACAGTACCGTACCCAGGTTGTTCCCAATCGTCCAGGTCTCGTCATAGTCAAAATGGACATCTCCCTCACGGTGTGTCTTGGGGAAGAATGCGTGTGCCAGGATCCCTCCAGGCCCGTCAAAAGGCAGGTTGTCTCCATGCCAGTACCTGGAGGGAAGGCACGTTGCACTTCAGATAAACAGCCATGTACCTGCAGTGAACAGCATCGTATGACCAAAGGTGGGGAGCCACTGCAAGGGAACAGCAGCTCTCACTGCCAACCCAAGATCATCCTACAAGTCCAGATCAACTGCTCACAGTCCTTCTGATTGCCACAAACCCAGTTCTGGGCACTGAGGAAGCTGAGATTGGTCACACCAATCCCTGGGGAGGTCTTACGTTTTCTCAGGGATGTTTCCCTCCTCCCCCTGTTCAACTTCCAGCCCAAAGCTGACTGTAGAGCCTGAAGAATTAAGGAGGTGACTGCTCAAGTTAAGATTAAGTTGACACAACTGAGTGGTGGGGGGATGCAGAGGGGCAGCTGGCAGCAAACCCAGCCAAATCCTCATGTCCTCACTCACGCCAAGCCCTCTGTTGGCTAATGAAGGAAACTGGTGAGAGATGCAGCCACTTCAGAGAGCTGAGGGAGGCACAGGCAAATATACAGTATGCAAATCACATCACTGCTTGGACTGTCTCCACTGCCCTTATTAGCTCTGTGCAAACACGTAGCAGAGGGAAGTCTTTGCCCTCATGCGTATTTTGCCAAAAGTGAATTTCAGGCCAGGAGCCAAGATCCATTTAACCAAGAAATTATATTTGTCTTTGGGCAGACAGTTAAGTTGTTCCATCAAGGGACAGGATGGAGGATCCAAAGATGGAAAGTCAAAACAAACGCTTAAGAAAACAGCCTGTGGGCAGAGAAATGTAAATGTACCACAAAAATTAACGAACGATCAGTAACGGCGCTGTGCACAGCCACCATGGGACAGCTGCACTTCCACCATGCAGCCACAACTGACAAAAAGTACCAAAACCAAAAATATCCCAGTCTCTGAAAGCAGAAACATGAGCTGAAAGTTGTGTGCTGGTGGCCCTCCACTCTGGTTAGAAGCTTGGGGTCTTCTCTGTCTGTGAGGAGGGTGCTGCTGCCCACCATGCTCACCTTGTGAAATCAATGACAATGTCAGCCCGTCCCTCCTGCACCTCAGTGAAGGTCAGCGGTGTCACATCACTCCAGACTTGCAAAGCTTCCTCAATGGTCCTTCTCACTTTAGTCTTTACAAGTTGCCACGGGAACCTGATGATTCTGAAAGGCAACAGACACTGGATGACGAGAGCATCATGTGCTGTCCCAAGCACGCTCTGTCATGAAGACACTAGCTTGTAGGATCAGTGCCACTCTACCTCAGCACCAGAACATCTCCAATCCATATGAGCACGGCTCCAGCACCCCCTTCCAAGCAGCATGTGCAACAGACAAATCCTGTCAGTGTTGAAACTCTCTGGCTGGTGGGCCAGAGGTGAGCTCTCTGGAGAGCTTTGCAGAGCTGTGTTTTGCTGAAGTGCAGCAGCATTTTCCAGGTCTATCCCCCATGAGTCCACCCCACAGAGATGTCTGCAAGTGGTGTGATGTGATCTCTACTTCTCATTCTCTGCATTTATGCCCCTGGAAACTGGGCTCACTCAGAGCAGCTCCTACATCTTCTGCCCTCCTATAACAAAAGCAGACTGTAAGGTGTGCCACAGAGGGAGCTTTCTTTCCCTTCCATTACCAGTGATGGGGTGTGTTAGTCTCTGTTGCAGTTCTTTCTTGAACACAGTTGACCAAAAAAAAATGAAGACACCTTTCTGTTACCTACAGGCTCCTAATACTATGAGGAACTGTCTCCTGCATTTAATTAAACCAAAGATGAATTACATGCTGTCAAGGTCCATACAAGTGTGCTCACTTCTCCACTCAAGTCCATGTGGTCAACTGGGGAGGCAGCACAACCCTCCTCCAAGCCTGCTCAGCAGATTCACAATTGAGGATGTGTCAGGTGATATGGGCAAAACTTCACACTGAAGTTGTGTTTATGGGAACATCAATAACAGCTGAATAAAAAGGCCTTTGTAAAATAAACTGTGAGGTGAGCCTGTGGTGGGGCAGCTGTGGGGGCAAAGGCACAGCGGGAGAAGGCTGGTGGTGGAGTCTCAGCTTGGTTTGATGTAGGGAAGGGAATGCACAGGGGTGTTGATGCACAAGGGACTGATGGAGGCGTGGTGCAGAATGTGTTTGGCCAGGGGTGGGTGGGCAGCTGTGTTTATGCAGTGTGTGCATGAGGGCATGTGGAGGTGCTGGGTGCAATGCTGCTGGTGGTTCAGTGTGTGGCTCCCCTCTTCCCTGGCTGCCCTCTGGTCACATCAAAGTGTGCCGTGCTTCTGGGGCCATCAGCCTGAGAGGTCTGGGGGGAAAGAAGTAAACCAGCTTGAGTCCCAGTTTGGAACTCTCTTACTTGTAGGTGAGATCGGTCTTGTCCCAGCGCCCACCGGAGAGGACAAATCGCTTCTGCCGGTTCCGCCCATTCTGTCCGTCCGGCAGCACCGGGAGGTCCGGAACGCCGCACCGGGGCGGGTTCCAGCGCGCTGCCCGCTCATCTGCACTCACAGGGAAGCCCTTCACAGGCACACCAGTCCCCACAGCGTTCACCAAGGAAGACAGCCAAGGACTCTGCTCCTTCCAGGTGTGATGCTTTCGGGACACGTCCTAAAAGGGGAAAGTGAAGCCACAACTTCAGTGATTGGGAAAAGATGTCCTGATGCAGAGTGGAGAATGTCCACCCACAGCAGTCCTGCAGCAGTGAGTTCCACCTCTGCCTGAGGCTGTTCCCCTGCTACTAGGGCACCAAATGCTCCCCACAAGCATCCTCCATTCCCTGGGCTGTGCTGCTCCAAGCCAGGTCACACCTGGGAGGCACTGTGTTGTGTCATTCCATGGCACCCCATAAGTACTGGGCTATTTTTGGTCCACTTTTCCTTGGCAGCTGGCTGGCAGGAAATGCTTTTCCAAGTTGTGGATGAGAACCAGACCCTTCAAGAATGAAACAAATCACTAGGGAGTAAATTCCACCCCTTTGCCCCACATCCTTTGTTCCCTCCTGGACACAAGTAGAGTTGACCTGTGACCCTGCATGGGGCAGGATCACCTGGGCTTTCCCCAGATTAGCTGGAAAAGCACAGCTCCTCTTGGCAACATTAATTCGTGCTAATTAGCTGACTTCCACTGGTTCCCCACCTGACAGCAGGACTATGGGGCCACCATGAAACATGACCCAAGTGTAATCCCCAACCTGAGTAAGGCATGTGGGGTGAGAGGTGCTTGCTTCCTGTCCCACCATGCTGACCAAGCCAGAGGTCCAAACACAGACCTTTTTTTGCCCGATTCTGTGTAAGCAAATTTAAAGGTGTTTGAGCAGCAGAAGAGCTCAGATGCAGCAGTGATACAACAAAAAAGCAGGCTCCATCCCACAGGGCTCCAGGGTGAGGACCTGGGGCTTAGGGGTCCCCTTCCTTCCCCTGCAAAGAGCTTCTTCCTGGCCAGCTCTCCAGGCTGCCCTGCTGGGGACACAAAGGTCAGGATGGCATGATGCCAGGGCTGCCATGATGCCGTGTAATCCGCATGCTGCCACCACTCTGTTCCCTACAATGAGCCCATTCATGCGGGCTGGAATGAAGTGTGAAGCTCTTGGCATTAATTCCGCTACCAAGCTCCCAGCTCTGCAGTGGCCCTGTGCCTCTGAGTGATGCACAGATGGACAGAGCCAGGGAGGTCACATAATGTGCAGTTTCGGTGTGCGTCTGTCACCACTCCAGCCTGCTGGCTTCTCCTCCCCAGCCAGCCTGACACCCTTGGTGGCTGCCAGCCTTTGCCTTAGAAACCATCGACACAATCCTGGTGTCCCAGCACACTTCCCCACAGCACGGGAACCACACCATCAACATGTGAAAAGGAGAAACACGTTTACATCCTAAACAGCAAAGCTTATCCAAGCCACCAGCCATGGCACCGAGAATCCATCCAGTGCTTTAGTGAAAGGAGGGAGTATGAGCTGGCCTGTCCCGAGGGAGTCTGCACCTGCTGAAAACTGGAGCCCCGACAGCTCCCAGGGATCTG